CCTACAGCTCACTCCTGCCAAACAACCGGAGTTGAGTTTCGACAAGTGGCTGGACATCATGGCCACAGTATCTAACTGCAAGATTGCCAAAACCTGTGATGGCGGTGTTCAAAAGCTATTTTACGACGATAAATGCCGATTCTGCAAATCCTTGGTTTTAAAGGAGTCGAATAAGCGAGGTATAATTATTATAATTGCAACATATATTTAGTTAATAATAATAAGCAACGTCTGTTTTCCGTCAATTCATTGGTTGCGTTTGTAGTTGAATTTTTAAAAATTTTCTATCAATTTAATTATCCATTTTGATCGGTTTAACCAATCCATCGTCATTCACATTTTATATTGCATGTGCATATATAGAATACCATGAATTATCATTAATTTATTCTTTTTCACAGATACTGCAGATGCGAATACCAGCAATGTTCATAAATATCCGAGCTTACAATCCTGCCCAATCCACGCAATCAAATGTTTCGGCGCCGACGGTTTGGCTCTGCTCGATTTCTACAGCCAAGCAGGCCCTCAGCTATCCGAGAATCTTATCGAAATGATTCAATTGTTCACGCAGACGACGTACACGAAGGGCCTGGGTTGCGAGCCCTTCGACGGCGACTCGCGAGTGCCTCTCCTTGCATGGAAATCGACCGCCTATACCGTACACGCAATCGAGTTTCTTCTGCGCGACACCGAGAAGCCCCTCCTAGGCGCCCTTTCCTCCAGACAGCGCGACAGTTTGGAGGGTTTGGTGAGAGTCTCGGCCATGATGGGCTCGAGCTGGTTGAGCAACATCACTGGTGAAGCTGGCAGCAACGATATCGATGATGAAGCTGGCAGCGATGCCGCTGGTAGCGGCGGCGGTAGTAATCAAAACATGACCGAGAGTATCGCCGAGCACGCCCTGAATTGCTTAGCGTGCCTCCTCCACACTTCCGAGAGCGAATACAGCATTCTAAGCTGGGACGCGTTCGGTATGCTCGTCACGCTCCTTTCGTCACTCTCGAACCTGCTGAGCTGCCGTAACGACGGCTCCTATCCAATTATCACGGGCAACGTCGCCGATCAATACGCGCTGAGGCTCGTCTTCACAGCCCACGTCGTCAAGATCCTCTTGACCTCCAAATACGAGGAGGACCAAAGGATGGACGTGGACGTTGAGGAAGAGGAGGAGGAGCAGCCCGGTGCCCTCCTCGATCTCATGAAGAACCTCGGACTATCGAGCGGACGGCTCTCCGCCGCGGAGATTTGGCGTCGCACCAAAGCCTGCTGCGCGCCCTTCCTCCGCTGCTGCGCCCTCTATTTCCACTACATAACGGACGTACCGGCGCCAATCGAGCTCACCGAGCGCGATGGCGACACCTACGAGAACATTTGCCGGTACCTCGGACTGCCAGAAAGCTGCGAGGAGCTCTTCGCATCGGAGAAAGTCCTGCAGCTATGCGCAGACTGGGTGAGACGAGCGCGCACGGCGAAGCACGAAATCGTGATCCCGGAGCCACTACGAATAAACCGACTCGTCGAGCTGCCCGAGGACTACAGCGAGCTCATGAACACCGTCTCGATGTTCATCTGCCCGAATAGTGACAAAGAGGACTCGCGCAACCCCACCATGTGCCTCATCTGCGGAGACATGCTCTGCTCGCAGAGCTACTGCTGCCAGATCGAGCTGAACAAGGTGATGGTGGGCGCGTGCACGAACCACGCGAGCGAGTGCGGCGCCGGGATTGGCGTCTTCCTACGTGTTCGCGACTGCGAGATCGTGTTCCTGCGAAGTCCCAACCGAGGCTCCTACTGCTGCCCGCCGTATTTTGACGAGTATGGGGAAACGGACCAGGGCCTCCACAGGGGCAACCCCCTCAAGCTCTGCAAGGACAAGTACAAGAGATTGAATCAAATGTGGCTCGGGCACGGCCTGTACGAGGCCATCGTCAGAGCCACCGAGATTTCCACATCAGTGAACGGCCAGTGGCAACACTTGTAATTAATTATTGCGATTGTGTAAGATTTATTATATTATGCCCATTAAGGACGCGAAGGCAGACTTTTTTCTAACGGGGGCTTGAAATTCGAACGTGCATTGTTGATCTTTTTTATTGTTAATTTTATACTTGAAGCCTTTCCCATTTCATCTGTTGCCTTCCCATCGCAATGCAACTTCAATACAAATTACACACACCCACGTACACACGCGTACACACTCACACATCCCACAAACACCCCAAATCGCCTGCCCCACCCATTTCAGTCTGCCTCTGTCAAGCAACACACGGATAAAGAGAGGCACTTTTGGTACGTGAATTAGCAAACTTTTTTTTTATAAATGACTGTGTATGTTAAGAGTGCTCTCAGCACTTTTCAGCGATAGGAGCTCGATATCGCGATGTTCGTTGGTTTTCTTTCCCTTATTTTTTTCTTTACTTGAGAATTCTTATTCGTTGTGTTCATTTAGACGGGCAAGAAAAAAAAAATTAACAATCGAAAAGTCAATAGAAAATGAACATCACTCAAGTGCTCATTGTGATGTTAAAACTTTACCATAGTTTAAGAATAACAGCTAGTATTACAATTGTTTATTATAGTTCTTTTTAATTTATCGAAGGCGTCATTATTCATTTCTACTCGGTGAAAATTGTAAAGTAGACAAGAACGAGATGTATTGTATATTTAAATAATCGGATATTATATAACGTTATGACCGTTTCACATTGTTTCAGAGTTTACTGGTCATTATATTTAATATTATTATAATTATAATTTTTATTATTATTGTAATAATTATTATTATTAATTACATCATCATTGCAACCACCATTGCCATTTTGTAAATTTTTAAAGGTAAATGGTCGCATTATGACTGGTAGTTATATATACTTGTTACATGTGTATATCAAACTTTTAATCAATAGTACTTGATATCGCTACGAGATTTGGTATAAACAGTAGCATTAAAATTGAAAAAATTAGATAATGAAGATAAGGATCTGAGATAGACAATTTGAATTATTTACGAAGGCAAATCAGAGCTTCAAATGATAATAAATATTTTGTAAAATCTTAATTCAAAATTATCTAATGCAATAAAAGGTTTTCTTATTACTATGTTTAGAAAACAAAAAAGAGAAACAATTTGAGCGTTTCATTAAAAAATGTTTTATTTTTCACGATATATTTTGTAAAAGCTAAAATTAGACGTAATTAAGTGTACACTCTTTTTTTTTTTTTTTTTTTTTTTTTTTTTTTTTTTTTTTTTTTTTTTTTTTTTTTTTTTTGGAAATATATCGTCAAAAAATTTTGAAGCTAATACGTCGAAATGAATGATGATATCAAATAATTTGAGTCTTTTATATCACTTTAAGCTATTGTAAATTAAAGAATAATTGCAAATCAATGTAAATTAAATTGTTTTGAAATATCAAATGCCTATAATATACCACCGTTAACATACATTGCACAAATTTGTGAATATTTTCATAAAGTCTTATTTTTATGCAAATAAATTTGTTTTTAGCGAAAAAGAATTTATCAAGTAAAATTTCAACGATTAAAATTTTACTTAAATTTTGAACCCGTTATAATGTATAAATCGTTCGAACTTTGTCTTCGAATTGGCAATACAAATAATTTTGCGTACCGGAAACAAAATCAATAATTTAAGATTTAAAAAAGAATTCGTGTTTTCACGATATTGGTTTATTGTTTGTAAAATAAAATTAATATATTATAAATAAGTTTCAATAATTATCTGTGACTTAAGAATATTATCTATTAAATATCTATATGCGTTTTGAATATTTAATATTCAAGTATTTCTTACACTAAGAATTGAATGAGCAATAAAGACTTTAATTTTTTTATCATATTACAGGTAAGTGCGATATAATTGCATTTAATTAGATAGTTGGAAAAAAAATTATTTTCTCATAATTGCAATTGAGTAAGAAAATTTAAGTGTAATATTTTTCTCTGATGCCTACTAATTAAGAAATGAAAAAAAATGTAGAATAACACTCAACTATATGACATAATAATCCTTTAAAGCAAAATAAATGAAAACGTGTTTTTACCTATTTATCGTTGCTTATTTATTTTTATTAAATGTATAATAAACATTTTCACATCTGACAGAATTACATAAATTATATGATATTCGTATATAACGACATGAATATGCATTGCATCCATATAAAATTGTATCACGATGTGTAAATTAGTAAAACAAAATATATATTATATACCACTAAAGCATTTAAAATTTGTACAATATAGTATAGTAAAGGACAACGGTTGTATCATATATTCTAATAATTACGAAAAAATTTTAATTTTGATAATTTACAATGATAATGATGTTTTTAATAGTTTTTTAAACTTATCAAAATAAATAATTTCTTTAAATATGTCAATATGTCTACTTGTATAAATTGGTATTAATAAAAAGCGACAATATATTTTAACTGAATTAAAAATTATCGTCGTAGAATTTTGTCAAGTATAATTGTTTATTTTTATTATTTTAATTCGCGCATCGAAGGAATAAAAATAAATAAAAACATTCATGATATTTTAAACAAGATTTTTTCCGTATAAAAACTTATAAACTTGCTTTAACGATTAGGATAGTTACTTAATAAATATAAATATCTATTTATATATAGAGTATAAGTGTATATGTTTTATCATTTAATTAAATATAAAGTTCAAAAAGTAAACAATTTACACAACTATTATGCATGTTTTATACAAAATTTTCTGTGGTGCCAAAACACGATCTATTACAAATTTTCACAAGAGATGTAAGCTTCTGGCACAATTTCTTACTTAAAAAAATAACTCGATTTGTTGGACAATCAAGCCAATAGCAATTGTCAAGTAATTAAATTTTCAGCAAAATAAAATAAAATCAAATGAAACTGAATTCTAAATGATGTTAGAAACAATTTATTATGGAATGGCTTGTATTGAATTTAAATGAACACAAAATTTAGCTACATGAAGTCCAATTCCTAATTAAACATTACATTAAAAATAAGTTTAAAATGGTGGCTCCTTTGATTACCATAAAGCAACGACGCATAAAAGACTAAAAAATTACTTATATATAAATGTTTAATAATAGATACTTAGTACTTTGAATTTTTTTTCTGAAGTACATTTCTCATATAAAATACATTGAATATGACGGTTTTTTATCACGTGACTCTACAGAATGGATCAATTATTAACAGTTCAGTTGACAAACCGTTAATCTTTCAGTCAATTAAACTGTATAACTTAGTTTTTCTTTTTAGTGCTATGTCTATTTATATTGGACTATAAACTAATTTTAATTGCAATAAAATTATGACTCCGAATTATATAAAACAAACGAATTGTAGAATCACGTGTTAATGTATAATAAAAACATCATTCATATATAGAAAAGATATAGAATATTTGCTTGATATGTAAACGATAATATAAAAAACATATTTTTCAATTAAATTAAAAATTTTTATAAAATAACTACATCGGTACGATAAATAATATGTTTTTATGTTTAATAATAATTAGTGTAAATATTATAAAATATATTAAATTTGGCTTTAATTTTGCTATAAACGACTAGAAAATATTAGAATTATCGAAATGCAATTATTTTCTTTCACCAAGGTTTTAAAGACGTGGTGGTCCAATATTATAAAATATTGCATAATTAACGTATTCACTCTGTTAAAATTAAAAATACCATTAATTTTTTAAATAAATATATTAAGCAAAGCATGATGAATAATGTGAATACAATAATAACAATTGAAGATGTATAAAGAAATTCAAATACGTTATACAAAATTGATCATCTGTGTGGAGAATGTATAATTGTACATTGAATCATGCATATTGATAAGATAGAATGAGTTATTACATTCTAAACATGTTTAAATTTTTTATTTATAGAAAAAGCTTCATCAAAACATAACTTACTTTTGTATATAATTATTTAAGAATGATAAGCCTTTACACTGTAATAAAAAACTTTTAATAAGTTTTTATGTTGCATTATCTCAAAAAAGGTATTCGGTAATAAATTATATTAACAGACGATGTAATATTTTTATTTGATAATGTATATTATTATTATTATTGTAATATATTATTTTGATTCTATTCAACTTAGAAATCTATTTTTATTATTCATTATTTAATGTATGGAATTTGTTTTATAACACTTATTATAATAATGCTTAAATAAAATGTTTGAGATATTTGTTATGATATAATGTGTTATATAAAAAAAAATGCTTTTAAACATGCAGAAATATAATATGCAATTGCATTATTCATGCCTTGATAATAAATTTTTCAGCAAATTTATTTTAAAGGTAAAAATTAAAATAATACTTTTGTTTTTTGTTTGAAGAATCTATTTTCAAACCCACATTTACGCAATACATACCAGATTGTTTTCATTTATAACTTGTTTTCCTTATATCTCATCTTTAAAAGAATAATAATAATTATTATTATTATTTGTTTAAAAAAAAAAAAAAAACAATGTTGTATTTACTAGAATCTTTTGCAATAAATAATTCGAAAGAATTCATATATCCAAGAAACTAATAAAAAAAAAACGTTATTGTGAAACTATTGATTTATTTTCTTCTAATTGCAAAACAATAATATATCAACTTTTTTATTATCAAGCACTTAAAACCAAAAAATAGACATTTTCTTCATTTATAATTTTTCGGGATACTGAATCGTATCGATGATTTCTTCATTTTCTAAATTTTAATTGTCTAATATGGAATTTAATGTCTCAAAAGGAAAGATTCTGAGTATCAACTATCTTCAATTTTATAATCAGGATCCATATTCATCAAACATAATCAATTTTTATAACCGGAAAATTCGATGACTAAAATTGTTTAATGCTTAAAATTATAATAATCGTCGTGATTTAAAAACTTGGCAATTATATTAATTGTAACACTTTTTTTTTTAATTTATTCCTAAAAGTGATATAGAATCATATGATTAAAAATTTATCACTCTTATTTATAAATGATATAAGAATAAAGAAAATATTTTGCTTTAACCTAAAGTAAAATTGAACATGTACTCTTTTTAATTACCTAAATTTGCATATTAAATCGTATTGTAATTAAAATTGTCATGAAATGCATTAGAATCAAACATTATTCAGCATAATATGTTCAATAATTAATGATGACGTTTTTAAAAGAATATTCATGATTAGTTACTTATTTATAGTTAAGTGATCTCAAATTTGAATGTATTCATTCTATTTTGCACTGGATTTCTATGAAAACGTAATACTTCGTTTTAAATAAATTACAATTAGTCAGTTGACATTTTGGCATCGATTTTGCAAAAAAAAAGTCTGTCCATTATCTCCGAGGAGTGAAATATAGGATACACTTGATTGGTTTGTATTACATGTATTTGCTTGCATATCATTCTTCATTTAAGTTGTATTTGGTTTACATTGCTTGAAAGACATTATAGTTATTGCTTATTTTCCATTTCAACGCTCAAGTATTTTTGTAATATCAAAGTTATTCTTTTTAAGTGCTACTTAAAAAGTGAACTGCAATGTTTGATTATTTTTTATCTCTTTATATATTAGCGTCTCAATATTTTGCTTCAACGAGTGTTGTATTTTTTTTTTGTGTAATTATTATATCATATTAAAAACATATTAAAAAGTATTTAAATATTTTAAATATTATATTCAGTTCTCTTATTTTGTGATTATAGTAATAAATTGAAACGACGACGCAAAAGTCATTGAAATAAAGTCTATCGACAATTTGCAAGAATGTTTCCAACTATTTTTAACATTAGATAAAATTTATTCTATTCGCGCAACTATTTCATATTAAATTCTAGCTGAATTATAGCGCTTTAATTCTTATTTCGACATTAAATTAAAAAATTATGTAAATTTATGTTTATTTAAAACATATTCTTCCCCTGCTATTGTTTCATGTAAAATCATATATTTTATACTAATGATATTTCTATTATGTCTTATTATTTATCCATACAAATTTTTAGTTACATCGCATTCTTTATTTTTCAAAAGGTAAATATTTTCACCGTAAATTAATTCTCTTTGTCAAATTTCATATTTCTTGACCAATATTATTCATTCAATAGAATGTTAATTATGATATCTTTGATGAAATTTTTTATTACATTCTGTTGTCTTTTTCATACGCTGTTTCACTAAAAATATTCTCAATTGATTACTGTCTTATTTCCTTGAAATCCTTGAAACGATATAGTCTATAGTCCCTTTCACTTAACTTCGGTCGTATATATATATATATATATATTTTTTTTTTTTTATGTACTCGGTCACCTCATGCTTCCTCTCCCGTTTACACAAGTTTATATATTTTAAGGAAATTATTATTGGTACAGTATCTAGTTAGAAAAAATTGATAATAACGGTAGCACAGATTATATCACTAATTAAACAGTATAATTATTTGGAAATAAGAAAGAATTTTATAAATATCAGAAGCCAATTTATATGACCATTATTAACATAATTATTTACAATGAAATATAAGATATCAAGAAATTGTTTGTTTGTCCTTAACAGATATTAAGATATAGAATCGATTCCTTTTTATCGTTTAAAAAATATTATACTAACTTAACGTAATAATAATATTGTTATGTGTATTGATTTATGACATTGCAATTATTTTTATTTCTAATAAATTGGTTAGAAAAAGAAAAATAATTTGTATTATTGGCATCGTGTCAATATTCGTATAATTGTTAAATTTATTCTAATTAAATCTGATCAAGGATGATCGAATATATTAATTAGAATAAAAAACAAATTGTCATTGTATAAAAGATATTGGTTTGTTTATGTAATATCTTTATAAAATCAGTCATATTTTACAATAGAATTTATTATGTCAAACAAAGTTTCATATAAATCAGTAATGATCAATATGTAATATAAGATTTAATAAATTTACGACAAAAAGTTGCATTAATGATATAAAAGTTATATACATATATACGTGTGTGCGCATGTGTATATCCACGATGGTGATCTTAATGTTCGATTAAAACCTGAAATTTATGATTTCATTGAGATTGTAGCGCTAAACATTTATCGGATGCTATTATAAATTCGATTTACTAGATAACCTTGTATGCATTAAGAACCGAATTTAAAAAGGTCGATTAAACACTGCAGAATATTTTATGACCTCGATAGTGCCCCAGAAGGTCAATAATACTTTCGATTGTAAGTATGCGTGCATAAATTAATACTCCGTCAATATAATTATAAATTTCACGAAATAAATAAAATAAGGTGAGTAGATAAGTAATTAATTAATTAATTACTATAATGCATCTACAATGTCAAATATAAAATACATTTTAAACAATAATTTTTATTAGATATTCGTTGTTCCTCTCCTTTACTAGATTATGTATTTTTTGCTTGTAAGAATATCTGAATTATATTTTATTATCGAAAGATAAGTGTTATGAATAGCATTACAATATATGAAAACATACTTATTGCTTGTAGTCAATTAAAAAAATAAAAGATTCATAAATTTTGTGATGTTTAATTATCTTTTACGTTGTTGTTACGATAAAAATTTGACGATTAGTACGTTCCGCATAAAATATAAAGTTTTACATCCAACAAAGTATTATGCTCATATGTATATACGCACGCACACAAACATAAAAACACCACACACACACACACACACGCATATATATATATATATATATAGAAGGAACTATCGATTGATAAATAATAAATATTTGCGCGGCAACACAATGTATACATATTTAGAAATTTCAAAAATAGAAATACATTATATTTAGAAAATTGTTGCATGTATGCTCACACGTGCGCATATATTTTCATTTATGTCAATATATCGTGACAATTTTTCACTTTGTTTTTACCGAGAATTTATTCAATTGTAATTTGTGTGTGTGCGTGTAAAAATCCATATCCATTCGTTCGTGATAATTTTGTCGATTTTTTTACTGATTATTTTTCTTTTTTATTTAATGCAAATGTTTCATTCGTTGGCTAATTTTTTTCCTTTCTCAATAAATAAGTTAAGGAATTGTTGTTTGAAATTATGTATTTTTAGCATTCCAATTTCAATACGTAATGAATAACGAGAAGGAGTTTAATGTACTTGAATGCGATTTTATAAAAATGCAAATGTAAAGCTATTTCAACGTTATTTACGAATTTTCAAACATAAACACTTTCTCAAATTTAATAAAATACATTTTTCAGCCAATAAACAATACAAATCAGCCAATATACGCAGTTCTTCGTCATGAATCTATTATTGCAATTAAGTTTAAAGATAGAAATTATCCGTTTAGGCACGATAATGTCAATGCATTGGAAATGAGCAACGCGCCGTCGAAGGACGAAATTAAAGGAAAAAGAAGGTTTTATCATACATGTGCGTGCGCGCGGGCACATATGACTTTTTAATTTCGAATTTAAGCTCGAGCACTTGTGAGAGCGGCGGTCGTCTCATAAAATGAGAAGATTCATCATCGGAGAAGATATCGCAGACTCGAGAGTCCTAAATTATTATTATTATTATTTTTTTTATTATATTCAAATGAGCTGTCTCACGCACATGGGGCACCGCACACGCGCATACACATCCGTATATAAGTCTCGTAAGCGGAAATACTGGACGATGGCTGCGAAGCGAGGGGCGGTGGGGGCGGGACTAAACATTTCCGAAGTTTCCGGGTGGAGTAGGTTGTCGATACGAGGGCAGCATCGCTTAATCATTAGGACGATGAATAAGCGAGGCGTTTCGCCATTCGTCATAGATTTTGGCGCCGTGGACGTCGGGAGTGGAAGCCGTCGACGGGCGAGCATAATCGCCCGTAGGGGTCCGATGCCACGGGCTGAATGCCACGAGAGCGCGCAAGAGGGCTGAAGAGAGACGGTTGCCTAAGGGCGAGAGTGGAAGAGAGACAGAGGGAGGAAGAAGAAGAAAGGGGAGACAGCTGTGTGCGCGCGTGTGCGAGGGAGCGCGGCGAACTTCGTGCGTAGGAAGGGAGCGAGAAGGAGATATAGGAAAGGCGCCGCCGCGAACTCGAGCGTTTGACCGTTTCACTTGCTGCGATGTAATTGCGAGCGCGCGCGCGCACACCCTTCTGTCTGTATTGCGTACGTCTGCGTCAGCGAGCGTGTATCTGGCGGCTCTTTGTGAGAAGTGCGCGAGAGTGGCTGGCTGGTCGATGACGTTGGTTGTCTGCTGGCGGTAAGTTGATCATCAACCACTCGCCTCATCTCCGTTCACGCTAGCGCGACTGATCCGCGCTAATTTTCCGCCACAGTCTCCTCCTCATCCTCCTCCACCTCTACCTCCACCACCACCTCCACCTCCATCTCCATCTCCATCTCCATCTCCATCTCCATCTCCCCTCCCCCCATCACGTCCTACTCCTCCTTCTCAAGTCGTCGCTCGGCGCTCAAGTCCCCCCAAGCACCGATACTTCTGCTCCCTCGGACCCGAGCCCACCAGCCTCTCCCGCTCTCCATCCCTAAAGGTTATGGATCGAGACATTGGGGTGTGGCTACGGGGACCGATTTTTTTTATAAAATCGACGGGATTGTGAACGTATACCGAGCGTGAGGGATTCCCTCGACGAGGCTTTGCTACGCCGCACCGACGATCTCCCTCATTAAAGCGAGGAGTCCTTAGTTGCAGCTTGTCGGTTGGTTAAGCGATACTCTTGGCCCCAACGTCGTCGCGATCCTGGTCTCGGACCGCGCGCGTCTCGTGGCTGTCCAGCATCGCGGATATTGGGCAGGAGGTGGATGTCAAGGCTCGAAAATGCCCTGGGGCAGCATACGACCTCTGGGAGACGTATCATGGCCTGCGTTATCGTTAGGGTCCATTGACATCTGTTGATCCATCGGCTGATCAACAGCGAAGGGAGAAAAGAGGCTTGCCACTTGTGTCGCAGGCCCATGATAATACAGGCTCCTTACCCTATGTGGGATGTTGAGCGCAACCACTCCCACTCAGCCCCACGAGTACACAGAGATGTCTCGGTTAGCGGATTACTTTGTAATCGTGGGCTACCATCATGAGAAGGAAAGTAAGTATCAGACTTTTTATTAGCTCCATTATGTTGTGCCCAGATCCATCTGTGTGTTTAATAACAATTTGTTCTTAACTGCTTAGGAAGTGGTACTAGTAGTGGAATAATATTGCAAAGATTTCCGGAGACGGATTGGCCAGACACCCCGTTTATCGAAGGCATAGAATGGGTTAGTTTGGATGTTTGGTTCATAAACCTTGCGCTTGTCAAATTTTTAATGTTAATTAATGTAACGATAAACACTCGTTCTTTAACTTTCCATAGTTTTGCCAACCGCAAGGATGGGCCCTCTCCACCGAAAGACAAGAGCCTCGATTTTTTGTATCAATATTAACAGACATAGACGCAAATCGTCATTACTGTGCATGCATGTGCTTCAATGAAACCGTGTCAATAACACCAAGTAAACCCGTAGATGAGGAGGAAGATCCCGTAGATGGGGACAGTCGCAATTTAGTTGTCAAAACGCTACCAGCTATTGCGCATCACAGCATTATGTATGCCCCAAAATGTTTAGTTTTGGTATCCAGACTCGATTATATCGAAACGTTTCGTGTGAGTAATGATTTTGATGTGTTTTAATCATCCTTGGATGTACATTTATTATGAGAAATTAATTTTAATAATCATAATATGGCCAATGGCAACAATTATGATAGAATAATAACACTAATAACAATAATAATCAGAAGAAGAAGAGGAATAAGAACTAGAACAACAACAGCAACAATAATAGTGGCGATGTAACCTAATGTTTTATTTATTTTTAATTGCAGAACTGTCTGGGTATTATCTATACCGTTTATGTCGAAAATCTTGGAATACCTTTGGAAACGCTCGTCGGTAATATTTTGGGATGCATACAAGTACCACCGGCTGGTGGACCTCAAGTACGCTTCAGCATTGGTGCAGGCGACCGTCAAGCACTACAGCCACCAATCAGTCCTTCTCTTCCTATTACTCACACAAGCGTTAATTTATTATTTCAACAGTTGGGTAAATATCAATCGATAGCTATTGCTCTCACCGTTAGCATGGAGTGACTAGAGATGCATATGTCGGCTCGCTAATTATCACCTTTTAATAGGTATTCGTAATGTTTTGGTATTATTCTGCGCCGTCATGACGGAGCATAAGATTTTATTCCATTCGGCAAGTTATTCAAGATTGACAGAAGGATGTAGAGCGCTCACCGCACTGATGTATCCATTTCGTTATACTCATGTATACATTCCACTTTTGCCAGCTGCTCTAGTCGAAGTGTTGAGTACGCCTACTCCCTTTATCATGGGTGTGCACAGCTCTCTAAAATATGAAGTAGCCGAACTGGTAAGTTTAATGCACGATTGCTAAGCGATGTCAAGTCTACTTCTGTAAATGCCTCGAAAAGAACTCTTTTAAACATAAAACCGAAACATAACATTCTACCATTGTCATTAAGAGCTTGTAAAGGCAATTTGAAAGTTTGTTATGGTAATGCACCCTGTCATCTGCCTATCTGTAATAATAATAACAACAACAACAACAATAAAAGTAAAAGAAGTAGCAATAACAATAATGATGATGATGATGATGATAATAATTAAAAGGACGTGCTCTTCCATTCGACAGATGGATGTGATTGTGGCAGACTTGGACGGTGGCTCGATCATGGTACCCGATGGAGTTTCGCTCTCCTTACTACCGGAGCCCCTTTTATCACAAACTCAGGACGCCCTGTCGTTGGTCTTGCAACCGGAGCTCGCTTGCGCCGATTACGCCTTTCCACCACTCGCCACTAGAGCTCCTCACCCCCCCATGCTGGATAAGGAACTTCGCGCGGTCTTTATGAGAGCTTTTGCACAATTGCTACAAGGCTATCGTAGCTGCTTGACTCTCATACGCATTCATCCAAAGCCAGTCATAACATTTCACAAAGTGAGAGCGCCTATTCTTTATCTATTAACCGTGTTCGCATTTATCGACTAAACGACCCCACTCCATTACAAATTGTACAATAAATTAATCCTCGGATTAGTTTATTACGTCGCGCCCACCTTCCAATCCATCAATTTATTCCTACGATGATTCGCAGGCTGCTTTCCTCGGCGAACGCAATTTAACGGATTGCGACTTTACGACGCGGGTGCTGGACTGCATGTTCTTTACTTCGTTTATCGCCGAAAGAGGCCCACCCTGGCGGGCCTGCGACGTATGGGATGAATTGTACAGTAACTTGAGCGACCAATTAAAACAAGAGGTCCAAGATCATAGTAAGTTTATCGAGATCATCTGCAGGCGGATGTGCAAAGTACCCGTCACCCATTACTTATCGACTCTTCTTCTTCTTTTAGGACTGGTACTTACGCACATTCAGGAATTGGCTCAACAATTGTATACCAACGAAAATCCAAATCCTCAGCCGTATGTACAAAAGATTTTGAAACCGCCGGAAGGAGCTTTCGCAAGAATTCATCAGCCGCCACTGCCGCGCGTTAATCCTGAAACGGTGCAGGCAATAATTGACGAAGGTCTAGCCAAAAGTAATCTGAAAGTCAGGTTGGTAGTAAAGCATTTTTTACAATGCGATATGTCGCGTCGTGAGCATCGAATCATAAGTCGCAAGAATAAGGCTTTTTCGACAAAAATCTTTCGAGCTAATAATTCCAGGGAAATACGGAGGGAGCGAGAGGGGGTGGACTTAAGGGGGAAGCGATCGTTCTTTCGATCGAGATTTATCCCATGTGTATTATTAATTATTTGAAGAAGTGGGCGGGCGAAGAATTTCATTGAAAATCAACATCAAAGGTAACGCTAGGAGGCTCCCCAAAGCCAAGCCTCGAAGATCTTCCTCTACGTATACGTAGCTTATTTAATCGATTCTTGTCTTCTTGCGTCCTCTTTTTCGACCTTACTGCCCCCCCTCCTCGCCGCTCCACACTTCATTTGTTTTTCATTTCACCGTTTGGGAGGCATTTGTCAAATTGCGAGAAAGCACCGCTTAAGCGATTATTATAATCGTCATTTACAATATAATTAACAATTTGAATCAACAATAAATTTAAGTTTGAAATTTTAGATTACCGTTAGATTAACTAAAGCTTCTAATTTAAAAATATTTTAACGGCCATGTTGCGAATATTTTAAACATATCTTTGCTAAAAATTAATTTTAATATTATAAACAATATTATTACGGCTCGCGACATTATAATTTTACTTAAACTATCGAACGATTTTAATTCCAACTATAATATATATATTCTCGAGATTTTAATTTCTATCATACGAGTACTTTTTTTTTACACTTTTAATAGCCCATAAAATTGATTTCACGCCATTTATTATCCTTTAATACACATTCATATACGTGCTGCAAGTCGTCATTTCCTTTTTCTTTTTCCTGCTCTCTCTCTCTCTCTCTCTCTCTCTCTCTCTCTCTCTCGCTCTTTTCTACCTCTTTATCAATACACCCGTTAAACATTATTCGTAATAATAAAATTTATTATTTATTTCATATTGAATTTAAATTTTATCGCGGTAGTTAATTGCTTCGTGTGTGTGTGTGTGTGTGTGTGTGTGTGTAGGGTATCACTAGACACGGTATTATTAGATGAAACAATCAAGGTAACAGTATCCTATAACTGATAATACTTATTTATTAAAATCAATCATTAATTAAGTCACTCGCTCAGAAATGACAATATTATTCCGTTATTGACATTAAAAATATTAAAGCTTCGCGATTAACTGACGCCCGAATATCGAAAAGCAATAAAACATTTAGTTGAAGGATATTTTTATGGACATTTTGTCGTGCAGGGTTTTGCAGTCGAGGTTATGCGCTTCTAAGGCACATTATTTGCCAGAATATTAAGATTGTAGGGCGACGGAAAGTCATGGGGCTCGCGGTGCCAAAGTCCAATCACCTTTCGCGTCGCCTCTGCGTCGCTTACCGTAAAGCGACGTTATCAGGAAGCCGATAAGAGAAGGAAGATGCCTCGGGGCTAACTTGACTGGACCATTGCTTTCGCAGACTCTCGTCACTGAGGCCCATCCAGCCGCGTATCGTGCCGACGGGTCCCCACATATCCATCGTCCACGACACCCGTCACCTCGTCAGCAACTCGGCCCGCCGACTCGAGGTGTTGCGCAGCTGCATCAACTGCATCTTCGAGAACAAGATATCGGACGCGCGCAAGACTTTCCCCGCGGTGCTGCGCGCCCTCAAGAGCAAGGCGGCGCGCCTCGCCCTCTGCATGGAGCTATCTCAGCACGTTGTCGGCAACAAGGCCATGCTCGAGCACCAACAGTTCGACCTCGTCGTCAGGCTCATGAACTGCGCTCTCCAGGACGACTCGTCGATGGACGAGCACGGAGTCGCCGCGGCGCTCCTACCACTCGCCACGGCCTTCTGCAGGAAACTCTGCACCGGCGTGATCCAATTCGCGTACACCTGCATACAGGTGAGTCATCCTCATCCTTCGACTCGAATAGTTAAAAAGAGCCAACGGAAGCTCCTTTCTTTACCAGCATTGCCCCTCCGATCCTCCATAATAGCGCACTAATTAACTAACCTAATGATTAACCGCCCGAACGATGCAGGAGCACGCGGTCTGGCAAAATCAGCAATTTTGGGAGGACGCCTTTTACTTAGACGTGCAGAAGGACATCAAACGGCTACACCTGCCCGGCGAGAACAGCCTATCGCGGCTAAACGACGGCGTGCTGAGCCCAACGAGCCCGAGGGACGGCAAGGACTTGCTGTTCAGGGACCGTACGCTAATTTACCGGGGCCAGGAGGCCTCGGCTCTCGAGATCGCCGCCGAGCAGATGAGAATATCGTCGTCCGTCAGTCCGGAGAAGCAGCGCGAACTGATTGCCAGCGAGGAGAGCACATTATACAGCCAGGCCATTCATTATGCCAATAGGATGGTGAATCTGCTGGTGCCATTGGATATCGGAGCCAAGACTCATCGGCAAGATCACATTTTCGACGACGAGCGCGCGAGCAATAGCGTAACCAACAGGTCCGTCATTCCTATCTGCATTATCTAAGTCTAATCTCGCAGACTCGTCGAATTTTTTTTTTTTTTTTTTTTTTTTTTTTTTTTTTTTTTTTTTTTTTTTTTTTTTTTTTTTTTTTTTTTTTTTTTTTTTTTTTTTTTTGTTGTCTATTAAACTTTTAATTTGTATTAATATTTGTCGCCGGTGGCTGTTGTTGACAATATTATATGTTGACGATGTTGCAAATATTATAGGAAAAAAATATTATGGATGTAGCGAACCATCGTATCGCATGCGCTCACTGATCCAAATAAAAATATCCTTTGGGATTTTGTAGCGTTGCCAGTGATAGTGGCGATGCGGAGTCTGGCTTCGAGGAGACCGACCCCGGAGAATTGGGTAGTGCGGTTATTCGGATGGTATCGCGATTCGTCGATCGCGTCTGTACCGAAGGTGGCGTGAGCGCGGAACACGTCAGATGCCTTCATCAAATGGTACCTGGCCTCGTTCACATGCATATCGAAACCTTGGAGGCCGTGCACAGGGAGAGTAAACGATTGCCACCGATACAAAAAGTAAGATATCCACAGTTTATTGCACCTCGTTTGAGTGGGAGGATGTTTTCAAAGTGTCGAGTGTGCTCAAATAAATGGGCCGTCGATTGCGATAATAACTCCTCCTCCCGTCTTCATTCCTCAAATTTCTCATGGGTTTTTTTTTTTTGTTTTTTTTTTGCTGTTGTGGCTTTAGCCGAAAATATTGACGCCGAATATGCTACCCGGAGAGGAGGTGATAATGGAGGGTTTGCGAGTTTATCTTTTGCCTGACGGACGAGAGGAGGGCTCGGCAGGTCTTCCAAAAACGCCACCATTTTTACCGGCTGAGGGGGCGATCTTCCTTACAAATTATAGAATTGTTTTCAAAGGAATTCCGTGCGATCCTTTTGGTAAGCCATTGTATTTTAACGGAATGGCCGTCGATTCGATTAGTTCTCATAATATCGGCTCATCGAGGCTCACATTATGATATTATTGCAACAGCTTGCGAGCAGATGGTAGTGCGAGCCTTTCCAGTTACGTCATTAACTAAGGAGAAACGAGTTGCCGTGCAGCACTTGGCTCACATCGATCAATGCCAACAAGAAGGACTTCAGCTGAGATCGTGCACCTTCCAATTAATGAAATTTGCATTCGACGAGGAAGTGACGCCGGAGAACGTGGAAACTCTGCGGAAATTAGTTCATAAGGCTCGGAATCCCCCACACATCTTTCATCATTTCGCTTTTAGTGGACAAGTGTTGGTAGCCCCAACCACCCACAATAAAGGAAAGGAAAAGCACGCTACCCTTAAGTGAGCCCATTATAAAATTCTGGTTTGGCTTCGACGCGTCATTTTGCCATTGATAATGGTGAAATAATGATTTCTTTCTGTTGCAGAGGTTTTGCTAAAAAAACTCTTTTAAAAACGGCTAGGAAAGCTGGATTTAAACCCAAACAATCCTCAAAACGACAAAAGTATGTTTTGCCAAATATGAATCTCACTAGTAATAATAAATACATGACATCTCCTGGTCGAATGAGTTTACCGATAACGGAAAATAATGATCTAAGCCATGACGATGATTTAAGTGGTAGGCAGTTGATGCTTCGAGCTTGTTATTGTCCAATCTATTCGCATTTGCTTATTCAATTGTTGATTTTCAGTAGACGAATTCGAAATACCAGGAATCGTTGTTCCTCCCGTAACAGATGCCAAAACACTAGAACGACTGTCGGAGAGAAGTTATGTAAGAGACTGGTATCGCCTTGGCTTGTGCTCAAGTGGTCCGCACAATAATCGGCGGAACGAGCCATTTCGATTGACCTCAGTTAATTGTGCCTATATGATATGCAGAAGCTATCCCGCTTTATTTATAGTTCCTACCTCTGTAACGGACGAGAGCATCCGTAGATTTTGTAGATTGTACAGACATAATCGAATTCCAATAGTGACGTGGCGCCACCCACGAACGAAGGCTTTATTGATTAGAGGCGCCGGTTATCATGGTAAAGGTGTTATGGGAATGCTTAAAGCTCATCCGACCTCTGCCGGCAATCTCAAAGGTATATTTTTCATCCACTATCCCCTAGTACGTTAATTCCTTCAAATAATACGAATAATATGTGTGCCGTTGCTTCAATGTACTGTAAATTTACTCTAAATGTACTGCATAAAACGTGAGGAGTAAAAAAAAATATTGAACTCGACGCTCGGCAAAGGCAAAATAATCTCATTCAACCACTCTGAGCGACACGAACATTTCAAATTTCAGCGAGCTCGTCGGAGAGTACGTCGTCTTTCGAACAGGAAAAGTACATAGCAGCTCTTGTCGCCTCAACACCAGTATCGATACTACGACAGGGTTCGGCCTGGGGTATGTCCGATAGCTCCTTAAGTATCGATTCGCTGCTACTAGCAGCCGAGGACCGAAACGCAACTCCCGAACAATCACGAAGAAATCCATTTAATAAAGCCATGGGTACTTTAAGGTAACGTCGCACCTCGGGCAATTGTTCGTGACGTTCTATGACGCCTTAATCAAATCGCCAAGTTCGCTCATTGATTATAATACTTGCAGCTCTTCGGGTGGCAAGGGTCCGAAAAATTTCGGTAGATGGGGCTCTCTGAAGGACAAGAGACAAAGCTCCCAGGCATCATTGACATCGGCAAACCAAAGAGGAACGGTGAGGCATTCGGCAGATTCCGATAGCGGCACCGAGTGCGTTCATACATTTCAAAGAGCTGCCCTTTATATCCTTGGAGAAAAGGCACATATGAAGGTATTATTCCTGTGACTTTTGAGTTCGATTGAATATTTTATTTTTTTATTCATCTTTTTTTCTTTCTTTTTTTTTTACTTTTAATTATCTTCTTTTGTAATTCATTAACATTTTACTTATATAGCCTTTATTGTATTATTTGTCCTATGTGATATGTCTATATCGCTCACCTTATCCCATGTATATTAAAGTTCGTAGAATAAGGCCAGTCGTAAAAGCTCGTAACGTTTATTCATTATTTCATTAAGGGAGTGAAAGCTGAATCAGCGCCGAAAACCGACTTCATACCCGTGGAATTTTATGACGTAAGGCATACGAAGGCTGCCTTTAAAAAACTCGTTAGGGCCTGCGTTCCCAGTTCACCCAATGTGGAGCCTGACGCCAGCTTTTACAAGTAAGAAAATCTAATCTACTCTCTCTCTCTCTCTCTCTCTCTCTCTCTCTCTCTCTTATATATCGAGTTTTTAATTCAAATAAATCAAAATGTGGCCCAATGACATGGTAAAGCAAATGAAATGTTGATTTGATACCAGTGTAAATTGACGAAATTGTCCGAATGTTATTTACATCCATGAGAGAGCGTTATTGAGCTAAAAGACGATATTCAGCATTAAAAATTATTTAATAGAATTGAATTCGATATACTTTCCAAATTTTTAAAACAATTTCCAATGTCAATTTCAGGCTAATAGAGAGCTCGGAATGGCTTCAGCAACTTCAAAGTCTGATGCAGCTTGCCGGAGCCGTAATAGACCTAATGGATTTGCAAGGGTCGTCGGTTTGCGTGTCCTTGGAAGACGGATGGGATACAACAGCGACCGTCTGCTCGATCGCCCAAGTTTGCTTGGATCCGCATTATCGAACGATCGAGGGCTTCCGGACTCTCATTGAGAAAGAGTGGCTGGGCTTCGGGCATCGTTTCGGTCACCGCAGCAACCTCGCCGTTAACTCGCAAACGACAAATTTCACCCCCACGTTTCTACAGTTTCTCGATATCGTTCATCAGATCCAGAGGCAATTTCCCCTGGCCTTTGAATTCAACGACTACTATCTCAAGTTTCTAGCATATCATTCGGTGTCCTGTCGATTCAGGACTTTCTTGCTCGACTGTGAATTCGATAGAGTCGAGTGTGGAATAACGGCTGTGGAGGATAAACGAGGATCCCTCACCAGTCATCATAAAGGTTAGCACTACTGAATATTGATAATGAATATTGGATTCCCTATAACTTCGTTGCTTTCTAATCTCTCTTATGGTCGTCTCTCTTTGAATTTTTTTTCTTTTCTTTGTCGCTGCTTCTTCCAACGATGCATCTCATTTATAATCTAGCGATAAATTAATGACTCGTTCTACTCGTCCTTGTATCTATGTGCTTCTCCATCTCACTCTTATTCTCGCTCGCTCGCCTGCCAGCCCACTCTTTCTTTACTTCGTTGTCATCGTTTTAACGTTTTCGTTTATCTTAGTCGGTCACTGCATTCCAATGTCCTTCCTACATTATCAGTCTCGCACAGTGGCTGTACATGAATCATACAGACATAATTGTTTACGTTCATTTAATCGTTAGATATTAATTGCCATAATAAACGCGTTAAGTTACCCAAGCATTTTGCCTCTATCATCGTTACCAACATCCTCGACGAATTTCATTAAGATACACGTCCGTGATTTTGTCGAAGCAGCAGCATCCGCAATAACCCGAATGCGCATGAAATGATCTTAGCGATCGATTCAACTGGAAGAAAAGTATTTTAATTGTCTCATCTTTGAAAAGGTGTGGATACCGGTAGCGATGACGAGACGGTGTATCCCGGTGGCAGATTGGCCGGCACCAATACTGGCACGAACTTAGGCCAGAGCATATTCGACTACATCGAAAAGCAGCACGCGAGATGCCCGCTCTTCTACAACTTCATGTACACTCCAAACACGGAACACCCAATTCTCCGGCCCGTATCGCATTTGCCGAGCTTGGACATATGGCAGTATTATTTAGAGGAAGAACTGGCTCACGGGCCCGCTTACGACCTTGAGATACTCCAGCAAGACTCGCAGCAGGAGGAGGAAGCCGAGGCTGCAGACGGCACTGTTAAGAGTAATCGAAAAGTCGTGACGCAAGGGTACCTATTGTCGAGCTCAATGTTACTTGATGTATTCGCAGTCCCCATGGGAGGGGTTCGAGTCTATTGAATTTTTTTCTCTTCTTCCCTTTTCTTTAATTGTAGGTACAACGGTGTCAGCACAATGGTTCCCGACCAATTTACTCATCTTCTCGAAGAGATTCACAAGCTCGAAACGGAGCTTGGTCATCTGCCCCAGAAGTGGAAAGTCTTGTGGGACAAGCTCGAATTGCCCAACACCGACTCGCTAACTGTACGTTCGCAATGTCCAGCATTTTCCTCAGCATTTTCTCCCGTTTAATGGCAATATCATTTCCTCGTTGCAGAGACACGCGTCGTTCAGCACGGCGCTTGTACGACACCACGGCAGATTGATTCACAAACGCTCGACGTTGGAGTTACTATTGAGGGGAAAGCTTGCCGGTGGAAGCACAGCTGGAAACGAAAACTCCGTCTATGTCCATCCCCACAGGTAGGTATCCTTCCCCGGCGATTGATTGCAATCGTAATTGACGTATAAACCGCGAGACGTAATTATAATTGTAATCGAACTTTTACTTTTTGACGCTGAAGATTCGAAAGACTCGACACGGCTACACCGACACACTGTGACGCGTGCTCCGGTGTTCTATGGGGTCCCGTTAAGGCTGGATTACGATGCGTCGATTGCGGGCACGTTTGTCACGATAAGTGTGCCGATTCCGTGTCGAAAAATTGCACGAAATACAAAGCGGTAGGCTCGGACAATATACAAAATCACACTCTAACCAGGAGTGGTGGAGATAATGGAAGCGTTAATTCAAGTGAGTGGGAATAACGTTGAGAATTAGTAAGCCTAATCTTTCCCACTTCTAATACTATTCACTTTGCCTGCAGGTGTTACGACATTGCAAACCTCGTCGCAGCAATATTACGAACAATTTTCTAGTAATGTGGCGGAAAATAGAACGCACGAGGGTTACTTGTATAAACGCGGAGCGCTACTTAAGGGATGGAAGCAAAGATGGTTTGTTTTAGATTCGATAAAACATCAATTGAGATATTACGATGCAATGGAGGACTCAAACTGCAAAGGTTACATAGGTAAGCGTAATTAAAGCCATTTTCAAATTTACATAAATTCAATTTTAATTTCATGAATAAAGCAGAATCGTCGACGACTTTGATTTTGCAATAACATTTCATTTATTATTACGGAATGGATGCAATATCTTGCAAAAGACTTACATAATTGGGCGAAAATCATCAATCCCTGACATTAAAATACGATAATTAATCGTGTTAATGATTTCTTAAATGCACGATTCACTAAGAATTCATATGTTATTGAAAAACATAAATAAAACAAACAAAGAAAAAGAGTTAATAATATGTTAAACGATTTATATCCTCCAACTGATTGACTAATGAGATGTTTAGCCAACTCATTCTATAATTTATATTTAATAAATTATAGATCTTGCCGAGGTTGTATCGGTAACTCCTGCAGCCCCTGTACAAGCACCTGGGAAGAAAACAGATGACAAATCGTTCTTCGACGTAAGTTGACCCCAAGCCAGTGGGCTTATTTAAAAGCTTACAACAATCTATTATAAAGTGTTACAAAATTTGTTTAATTGTCGTTTCAGCTTCGCACAAACCGCCGGACGTACAATTTTTGTGCAGGTGATGCCGCGACAGCACAAGAATGGATCGAGAAGGTCCATGCGTGTTTGCAGTAGTGCCTCGATATCAATTTGTTTTTATACGAAATTAAACAAGTGACTGATAGGATAATTATTCCATTATGTGAAAGACTTTTGTATAGTGTACTCGTGAATGTCATGAATAGCAAATTTACGTTCAAGTTATAATTTTTATTAATTACAATTTATTAAAAATTATGTGATTATGATATTCCTAATAATGCCTATTAAAGTGTTTACGGAATAGCATTGAAGTACGTTCTATCTACATAAAACAAAAGTTAAAAAAAAACTTGTTCTAATTTTTATATAGCTTGTTCGATTATGCCTTTTTAATGAGCGATTACATAATTTATGGAGCGTTACAATTTTCTTAAAAGAATCTGTTTTCTACTTTCCGTTAAAGTGCGTATTAGTAATGATTAATAATAATCAAGCAAATTGTAGGTACGTAAGCTTTTATGTCCCTTGATATGTTGCGAGGATTGTTATCGCTAGATTTACATGGGGCGATTTTTCTTAAATTATATAAGATGAGCCAAACAAGAGAGGAAGATACAGCGCGTCTGTTCCTTCGACTCTATCATATCAATAATTAAATTTTAAAAACTTGTGTAGCTGTTAACGACAGAAGAGAATTTGTAACTATGAAAGTGGTATCGTTGTAACGGAGGTGGATTATAAAAGAAAAGTTGATCTGTCGCTGATCATTATGATTCTCGTTTGAAAATTGTACAAATGTCCTTGTATAAATGGCAATATAATAGACATATAGTGGATGCGAAGTGAGTTAAACATTTTATTGTTATTTTATGACTTACGTGATTTTATATTTTAATTTTACATAAAATGCTATATGTATTTTTCTATTGATTTTTTTTTTGTTAGTTTTTTTTTTTTTTTTTTTTTTTTTTTTTTTTTGTTTTTTTCAATAATTTTCCAGAAGCTTAATAATTACAAAATATTATGACTTCTCTTAAATAAAGTATAATTCTTTCTACGAACGTCTATAGTAATTTCATTTTCGATTACACGACATCACCAATTCGAATTTTCATTTAATGAACCATTTGAATTTAAAAAGAAGAGAGAGAGAAACAGCAACAATGACACAAATACACGATAAAGCGCCGTTTTCACACAAAGTGATATCGTACCATGAGAACACGCCTTTCCATTTCAGTATGATAAAAAAGAAAAATCACTAGCTGAGCGAGCGAGGTCTGGTGACTCGTTGGCCCTCTTTCTAGTTTCTACCTAAGCTTTCGACCATTTCCTTTTCATGTTGTTGCGTTGCATTAGAAACACGTGGCTGGCGCTGTAATTTGTTATTTATACGAATATTAAAGTGCAAAACGCGTAAGTATGGATTGGAAGCGAATTTTATTAATCATAGACATTTTAATCCATTGGTTTTACGATCGACTGTGGCCCCGATTGGCTTGTTGGGCCGCCGGCATACGTACGGGAAAGTCGTTGGCTGCACCAAAAATGTCCTACGGATTTTAATTATCATTACAATTTTTAATTACCGCTAATCGTCATTTTAACTTTTAGCAAAATTAACGAAGCATTAACGAGTCACGGAGATCGCGATGTCTTTTTTCATATGATACCAATTAGTCCATTTAAAAGTTTAAAGTTCATTATTATTCGAGATTCTAACCTGCGTCGATCATCAATTTTAACGTTAATTCTGACCCGACATACTTACGCCTAAATTTACGTTCTAAAGACAATTTGAAATGTGTTTAAAAGTGATATAAGATTATTTGTAAATATAAATATATGTATCGGTAATATTACGTGTCTATTCATTTGTTTTGGTTAAAGAAGAATATCGATGACTGAAAGACAGTTGGCTTTAAATATTCCAAATGACATTTAATTGACACTGATCGAACGACATTGCCAACAATTTATAATGCATGACTTTCTTCTCGTTGTAGAATGCCTTTGGCAAAAGATTTTCTGCACCCTTCTCCAGCTGAAGAGAAAAGGAAACACAAGCTAAAGCGATTGGTTCAAAAACCAAACAGTTATTTTATGGATGTAAAGTGTCCAGGCTGTTATGCGATTAAAACTATTTTTTCCCATGCCCAGAGGCCAGTGGAATGCGATGGATGTCGTACAATACTGTGCACACCCACGGGTGGCAAAGCAAGACTCACAGAGGGTTGTTCTTTTAGAAGGAAGGTTCAGTGTTAATTTTATTCAACCGATCTTTACATTCGCTAAATAAAATAATAAAATAACAAAAAAAAAAAAAAAAGAGAGAAATATCGAGAGTAACTGAATTATTCTGCTCCATCCCATGCCAATATTCCCACAGCGACGATTATTAATTCACGTAATTGTAAATAAAATATTTATTACGAAAGAAACGAGTAGTCGCGATTGTTTTGCACAAATTAATAGATATCGATGCTTTATTCGTTCAAATAAACTAAAGTTCCGTTTGTTTATTTTTTGTTTTTTTTTTTTCAATAAATAAGTAATGGAAATGATAGTAATTCAAAATGCAAAGAAATGTTAATAAACTGATTGTATATTTTATACATATATATCTGCAGTCTGATGCCACAATTATACATAAAAGAAATTACTAAAACTAGAATTTTACAGAATTCATAATGAGATGGGTCTAAAGATTTTTTGTTCGCATCAGGCACCAACAGTCGATAATATCATAATCAACAAATGTACACAAAACTTGAATATTAATGGAATGATATAAATTTATTAAAGTAAAATAGTATTGTATGCTTGAAATATTCCAGCCGCCACTTCCACCGATCTTGACTTCAATGATAACTAGAGAAAATTTTTAAGCAAATTAAAGTTTTTCATTTGACAAATGTAGGAGAAATTTAGATTCTTAGAAAGATAATATTACCAAAATATCTGGATTTCCAGGTTGAATTTTCAATTCTACGAGCACCCAAACATTATTCGTAAGTTTAAGCGACTGATATAACATATCCTGTCCCTCTACGTTTCTTTTTGCTATTGTAAATACATTATTTTGTTGCATTTTCGTCACTACTTGATCGGTCGTTAACATTATGCCAGATAGAATGTAATTAAGCTGTAACAAAGCAGAACAATAAACAACGAACAGTCCCCTTTTAATTATTAAACTATGTGAATTATAAACTTGGTAACGTACTTCGTTTTGAGCGGGAATATCCTTCCACGTCGAAAGGAATACCCTCTTATCCAATTGTCCATCTTCAGTGAAGTAAACATGCATAGGTACTATGCAAGCAAAATAAAAAATATCAATATTATTCTTTATGGCAACCTGAAGATTATTAAGAGGCTCCATTCGCTGTACTGCCCCGGCAGTCGACAAGATTACATTTGTGTCAATGCTCTGACCAGGATTTAATGGGGCCGGCACTTGGAGCGGCGCCGAAGGTGTCAAACCAAAGCTATTCTTATTTAATTGAATGGCAAAGCCACCCATTGGCTGCATAGTTTTGTTCGTAAATCTCATTTCCATGTTTATTTGGCCATCCCTGATTAATTAATACAATGCTTATAAATTTATAAACATAACGCTGCAAGGGTGCGCGGAGTGTTAGATATTAATCGCAATAACCTTACGACTTACTTTCTCGAAAATGTACCCCATATATCGAAACCTTTGCCCTTATCGGCCGAGAGCCAATTGATTTTTGGCGCCACGTAGGAGACGGTGCCTTGATTAAAGCCAAATATATCGCCGAGTAGGCCAGTTGTGGTTTGTGAGACGGCTGGCGCTGGGCCCGCGTCAGCACCTCCGAGTATGGCATCAAGGCCACTCAAAAGATCCAAACCTAAGCCCGAGGAGGCCTGTGGTGTGGGTGTGACTACGGACGAGCCGCCTAGGACAGATATTCGCATATGAAGCAAACGAGGAGACAGTATATCAACGAGTGCTCATGGTTTCAATAATATTAAAAGAATTCCTCGTATTACCAATGTCCATGCTAAGTAAATCGCCGATAAGCGAGTCTTGGGCTGGAATAACTTGAGCCTCGGGTTGCGCTCGCGTGGCCGCATCCTCGTTCGAGCTATTCCTCGCGGGCAATGACTTTCTCATGCCCGCTGCGCGTCCTTCGACAAAGGCCGTGGGTGGCTTGTGGTATACCGAGGCTAAGCTAGAAATATGACAAATAAGCTCGTCCAATAGCGTTGGCTCCAATAGATCCGTTTCCTCCGATATCAATGGCTTTTCCGCGAGAACGACTTCCTTAGCAGCCGCAGGATCCGTACTGAGCAATCTCCAATAAATGAACCCTCGGTCCCTCAAATCTGGATTATCCGAGTCTTGTGTCGCGAGGCTCAATACTTGCTGCACGAGCTCTTGCGTGTCGGTCGGCCTTTTTAAGAAAAGTTTAACGATAGCAGTGAGCAGCTGCAGCTGCACTTGAGTATTTTCATCGTGGAAGCCTTCGAGGAAGCTTTCGAGCAATTCATCAGCGTTATCAATGCGTTCGGCGTACTCTCCGATAATCCAAATCATGGAAGCCCTGGCTTCGGGTTCGTCCAACGTATCCAAATTCTCACAGAGCGTCGATATGATGCTCTCGTACTTATTGGGATATTTGCGAAAGATATCTTTAATAACGACGATCGCCTCTTGAACGACGTAATTAACCTGTTTAGAATAACGAGAGATTATGAAATTAAGGATTATTAATCGTTCGAGGTGACAATGGCGGTGTGATGTTTAATTCACTTTTTTTTTTCTTTTTTTTTTTTTTTTTAATACAAAGAACAACGAACCTTCGTCTGAATGAGTTCCAGCAAAGTGGAGACGCAACGCTCGGCGGACGGCTCGACCTTAATGGCGCAACGACCAATAGCCCTCACGGCCTTTCTCACAAAGTCCACGTCCACCTCCGTGGCGTACTCTTTGAGCTCGGACAATACTTGAGCTATGTTGGTTTGCGACGCCAATCTTATCATGATATCTAATTTTTCGAGTTTCACGTAAATCGGATCGTTGTATTTGACAAAGAATACTTTCATTTCGTGCTTCAATATATCTGGCCTCTTTTGAACAATGAGATTTATATTCCTGAGAGCGACGTATTGGACTTCTGGCTCTGAGCTAAGTAGGGTAACCAGTGGTGGTGCGAGTTTTTTCGTTAAAGTCCCCACAAAGTCCGACTCGAATTGCAGCATTTCCATCAATTTCATTAATACCTGAGTGAGACGCGAGGAAGAATCATGAGATATGCGAGTGCTGTCGACGCTCGAACGTACGACGGCGTGTAACGCTCGCGTTAACGTATTACGTATACGGCAATAAAGTACAGATAGATAGATAGATAGATAGAGAGAGAGAGAGAGAGAGAGAGAGAGAGAGAGTGAAAAATACAACAAAAAAAAATAGACAAATAAATAAAAATAATTGCATTACCTTAACTGCCGATAGAACTACAGCTGCGTTTGCATGCGCTAAACGTGGAGTGATTCTTTCGCAAATACTCTGAGCCTCTCTATCATCTTTAGGCGAATAATTAGCGAGGGAATCTAGAATAAATACTTGCCCCCATTCGGTACACTCATTTAAGGCCGTAAGAAGCTTGTTGATGGTTTGTGCATTCATTTCAACGAGGGGCTGCCCACTGGAACTCGACTCGTTGATTTCGGATAAGGCTGCCACCGCGTTTGCCACTACCTTGTTTTTGTTTTTTAATGCCGGTTAATTGGGTGATGGGTTGGGTTGGAGGGGGGGGGGGTGATGCGAGGAGATACATGTGGTATTAAGATAAGATTTATAGCAATAAGGATCGAGCCTGGCGCTCAAATTTTTTACCATCGGATTGCTGTCTGAGAGTAAATCCTTTAGCTGGTCCAAAAATCCTTGATCTTCCACCAAGACGGCATTAATGTCATAGAGCTTAGCGACGCATACGGCCGCGGTCTTTCTAACATATGGATCCTCGTCTTTCAAACACTTTCGCAGTGGCTCACAGAGATATTCCGTGATTTTGTCAACTCGAATGCAACCCATGGTGCGAACGGCTAATGCACGAATCAGGGGGTTCGGATCCTCGCAGTCCTACGCAAAAATTGGTCACGCCAGGGATTCAAGTCTAGCCACAGTAATGACTATCTATATTAACTCAAGAATTTGACAGTATAGAAAATGATATGGTACCTTAGTCATCGGAGATGTTGTTAGCTCCTTTTGCGTGTCAGAACGAAAAATGTCAAATTGGTCACCGTCACCATTGTTATTATTATAGTTAATTACGTATCAATTTATCACAAAAAAATCACATTGCATTTGAACCAGTCATTTTTTAAAGAGCACGATTTATTATACGCTTAACAACTTGGATCTTGAAAAAAATCTTATAAACATGTAATAAATGTACATGACAAGCAAAAATTAAAAAAAAAGTAAAATTTGAATCAGTCACAACATCGATAGACAGCCTTGTTATTATAAAAAAATTTGGTTTTTTTTTTTTTTTTTTTTTTTTTTTTTTTTTTTTTTTTTTTTTTTTTTTTTTATTTCAATTACATTCACTAATCAATAATATACTCTTTAAGCTGCTATTACAATTCAAGAACTTTAAACGTCTAAGAAATCTAATGCACTCAATAATAAACCTACATGGAAAAATTCAATTTTTCATTACTATTTCTCTCTCTCTCTCTCTCTCTCTCTCTCTCCCCCATTCGCTCACATTCACTCTCATTCTCTCACACTCTCTCTCTCTCTCCCTCTCTTTCTCTTCCTCCCTCTCTCACTCTCTCTCTCTCTCTCAGCTCTCATCAGGAATAAAATATAAGTTTTTGTAGCAAACAAAATGTACATGCATTTGGCCAAGCCAAACATAAACAATTGCACTGTGTTCTACAACTAGACATAAATGATCAGTGCTCATGCACTTTTCTTAAAACACATCATATTGTAGGTAATAAATGAAATATATGCTCACCGAGAACAAATGTCATAATATACTTACATAGAGTAATAATTAATCTATTATTTTCGTGTAAACGTTTTAAAGCTTTAAGGCTTGTTAATTAAGTGTCTTATTAAATATCGACAGCAATGCAGTGATTGATAATGCAAACGATCGTTTAAAACATTTGAAAGTGAATTTGGCACTCTGTTTTATATGCGTATATGGATATTAAGAATGGTCCTTCTTTTTTGTAAATTGCAGTTACGTCGCTGCGATGCAACTTGTGCTCTTACATTACTGTGGCTTAAATTTGGACTTGGTTTCAAGTGCACATACATAACGGCGATGAGTCGCTTACAATTTAGAATCAAACATTACTTTTCTATTTTAGCAAGGTCACATTAAGCTACTTTTTGTATCGATAAAATTTCAATCTCGTGCCCTTCAAAAAATAAGCAATCCAATATATTATACCGTTAGAGCATACTATCCTACACACTAGAATGTAGATGGCTCAAGATAATTTATATTATCGTCAAGCATGATCTGCATATTTCGATAGAGACAAGCTGTAGAACAATTAAAGAATATTTTAATTATCAATTGAATTATAACGATGTTCTAATTATTTTCTACAACTTGCCTTTAGGCGTACAGACGATTAATATCATAATAATGTGGTTAGTCTTAAGTTAAAAGAAATATATATTAATGTATTAATTATAAAAGTGTATAAGTAAAGAATAGACATGAGCATTGAGAATATATAAATTGTATTGTATTTATATATTTGAGTGCACCGACAAAAGTGTGAGAGAAACTCGTAAATTTTGTATGACACGTTACCTTAACGAATGTGTTGACTGCCATAATTGCCATATCTGGCTGGCTTTTAGCATAGTTCATAAGATAAAGGTACACCAACTTCTTCAATTCTAGATTATCTGTTTGCATGCAATTGACTACATCGGGAAAGAGAGCTGAAACATCTTTACCAACTGTCATTGACGCAATCACCTAGAAAGTAAAATTTTGTAACAATTCCGACGCAAGTGTTAATCTGATTTTTATTTTACCAAGCGTCGACAGGATAATATTACCAAGATCGACAGACTTAAGCCATGTATCGACGCCCAAATGGGCGTAGTTAAACAGATAAAAAGCATGAGAATACCTTTTTGACAGCTTCTTTCTTTTTTTCTTTTTTATCATTGTTGAGTTCTGACTTTAATTCAAATATTTCTCCTTTTTTAGTGGTGGTGAAATATTTCGAGTCGGTCATTTTTGCTGTTAAAGAAATTATAGAAATTATATTGTAAATGTTACACGCATAGGTAAGTATTATAATATGTTAGTTTGTTTGTTGCACAATTAATAAAGCGTTAACAGCAATCGTCGTTGTCAGCCGACGTCGAACGAAGCATGAAGAACGTAACACATCCACGGGCCTACGCACACATGCACGCGCGCAAGAAAGTAAGCGCGCGCATCCGTACACTCATTCGCATACACGCGCGCGCAAGCACACATAAATAAATGCTGTGCACACTATGAACACTCCTTCGCACGCCTTCGCATGCGCACATATGCATATGCATAAACTTATATATGTGTGTGTGTGTATATATATATATATATATATATATATATATGCATGCACATATGTGTTACGCGCGCGCGCGTGCGTGTGTATGAATATGCATATGTGTAGGCAGACGTATTTTGTGCGTGCGGTGTGCTGACACTTTATATACATATACAAGAAGAGGAGACATACGCGTATAGGCAGCAGGACCGTTTGGATCAATGCTCTAGAATTAAAATCTCGTTCTGCTGATGGGCCTTAGAAAATTCAAAATTTTTAGACATTATCAGTTGCGCCGACAAATTTTTAATGCATTAAATTTGTTGACAACTACAAGAGAAATACAATCGATCGCTTGGAAGATAATCGTCGACAATATTAATGATTTTGAATGCTCGACACGAAAGATGGTCGGGGGTTGGTGGAGGGTGTATGTTTATGCATTTAAAAGAGACAAGACTATGAGGAGGAGGAGAGATGCGTGCAAAGAAACAAGTGAAAATTCTTAATCGCTGCGTTACGAATGACGCTGTGGCCGTATAAATACTGTTATATATAAAATGACGTACGCGTTTGCAGGTAATTCTGAAACACTTTGCTGATTATCACCTGAACCACTTAAACAAGAAAACACGATAAAGCAACCGTTCGACTATGACAGATCGGCGTTAGTCCTCCGATGTTACGCCCCCTATCCGTCGTCTACGTTGCCTTCGTCATCGTCGTCGTCTTCGTCGTCGCTGTTGTTGTTGTCGTCGTCGTTGTCGTCGTTGTCGTCGTTGTCGTCGTTGTCGTCGTCGTCGTCGTCGTCGTCGTTGCCGCCGTCGCCGTTATATCGAGTAGTAGCCGGGCGTCGCTCCTATCAAGTCAGCTCGCAACGCTACCCGTTTAGGGACTTTTCTTTTCGAAATAACTAGAATACGTCCGTAACGGTGGTATCGGATATGCTCCGGCAGGACAAAAAAGTCAACCGTCAGACCAATCCAAGTGGTGCTTTCGCTGTAATCGATAGCGGAGATGAAAGATTGAGTAGGAGAAATCGCACTCGTCGAAAGTCTTTTAAACGAGCGTTAAGCCCGTGATGAGGAATAAAGGAAATATTGTATAATTAAGTATTTCTTTTGTTTCTTTTTCTTTTTATTTATTATTCTTATTTATTTCACCACAGTTTTATAAAATGTAACACACATTTTTATACATTTATATGCTATAATTTCTACAAAATAATAAATGCCCTCCAACTTGACTGACCCACTGCATCCATGGAGGCTTTTTGCATCAAGGACTGTTACTTGATAACAAATCTTGTCAATAATGTGCAAGATTCTTCGAGTAAATTAATAAATTATCGGCATTACGTTCTCTTTTTAATGTTATTAATACTTTAACTCATACTTTAAATTATAATTTACAACATATGAAAAACTGTTCCGATCATTGTACAAATACAGTTTTGGTTTAAAATACTAAGAGCACTTCAGCATTTCGTCAATGCTATACGCTTTATAAAAAATACGATGTTACTATAATTAAATCGATTAATTTTATTATTACATACACTGCGCATAAAAGCCCAAAGGCTTTTATATCGTTTGAATTAGTGCGTAATCTCAGAGAGTATGGTAGCTTTGCTCGTTTTTGATTTTGTAAAATTTGTAGAATCCTACGCCTAATCCGACGATGCAAGCTGTTAAAATTATTCCACCTGTAAAAGTCGAGCTTGTAAAATTTGAAATTATGAAAAATTGGCGTTAAACTTGGCAGTGTTAATGTTAACGTTACCCATAAAACTTATTCCATCGAAATGACGGCCCTTAGGTGATACCGTTGTTGAATTTATAACTGAAGATTTTGTAGTGGGTCCTAAAGAAGGTTTAGTAGGTTTTGGTGATGTATGGGGATTGATCGTCGTTGAACTTGAATTGGAATTTGTAGATGTAGTCCCCTCCGTAACCTTTGTTGTCATCGTAGTCGTAGACCCTGATGTCGGTGCTGTAGTCCGCCCTGTGGTCGAAGCTATGCTTACCACTGTAGTTTCCGTTGTTGTTGTATTTGCCACTTTCTAGTATAAAATTCACATTATGTCTATATAACGCATTTGTTTATAAACTACTCGTTATTTTGTTAATAAAATGATAGACTTCTTACTGGTGTCGTTGGAACTGCTGTTGTGACAGAACTTTTCGGCGTGGTTGCAGGTATCGAAGTTGTAGACTGATGGAGTATCGATACATCCTCCTTGGTAACTTCTGTATTAAAAAGAAAAAGAAAAAGAAAACAAAGTTTAATCGTCCATCATACTTTCTTTCATACGATAAATCTTTTCCTCTTCCTTGTATAAATTTAATTGAAATACGATGGTCAATGAATTTCAATATTTTAAAATGTTAATTAACATTCATTCGCAGCTTGTCATTAAATTCCACAAGCTCGTCAATGCAAAGAATATATATTTTATATATCAATTATTTACTTCAAAGACAAATATACATTCAAAGAATTATTATAATAAAGATACGTTTGTCAAATGTTTTACATACAGTGCACAGTATCTAGTACAGTGAAAAACAAAACTATAATAAACACGACAAAAAAGAAAAAACATAAATAAATAAATAAATTCTATCGATCACCGAGCTTCATTGTTAACAAGTAAACGTGTGAACATATCTTGAAAAGCAATTTCATAATTATAAAGTGAAAGGAATAAACTGCCTGACACTTATGCACAGACGACACACGTGTCCATACATAAAATGATTTGTAATAAATTAGTTCTTGCATAAATAAATTTCTACGATAAATAAAATCAATAGCAACTACCATTGTTTTCTTATCTCTCGAGTACGTCTACGTCATAAGGGTCGCAAGACCATTAAACTCTAACCAAATAACGAACTAACGAAGGTTTGTCAGTATTCGACGCCTTAAACGTTAACTAACGAGCAATATCAAATACCTTTATCGTTTACAGAAGTTCCAGAATTACTGGCAGCGATGTTAAGTGTCGCCAAGAAGAGGGCAACTCCAACAACCGGATAATACATTTTTCCAACCACTGATAGGTGACACTGGGATACTAAAGACAAATTGATTTGGCTTGCGTTCGTGAATGAACGATAAATAGCGAGTATGGGGTATCGGGTTGGGATGGATGGGCGGTGAGGAGAGGCGAAGGAGGGAGAATTTTCGTAAATTAGGCTATAGAGGACGGGATAAAAAGTAATTCGCAGCTTGTGGGCAAACTCGGGGAGAAAGATGATTACCGAGGAACAATAAAGTAGAATTGATCGCGCGTCGTTATCTCGAATTGGCAGTCTTTATGTCAAGCCACTTTATGTTTATCGATATTTTAAACAACTTGGTCGTCGTCGTCTGACTCTACGTAAAACTGGATCGCAACATAATAAAACTAAAACTAAAGCAATCGGACCGGAGGACTGAGAGTTACGCTGGAACTAGCAACTTTTCACCGACAAACGGGTCGACGGGAGTACCTTGTTGGGATGGTGGGGTGGTAGGAGGGCCGGGGACTCGTACTTGAAACTCTCGAACTAACGAAGATTCAAAACTAAAGTGTCTGTCTCCACGGCAATTCGTAACGGCACGCGAGAGGTTATACTACTAGACTCGCCTTCTCTCTCCCTCCCTTTCTCAATATTTCCCTTCACCCGTAGCGATCGACCGGTTCATGTTTTTCCCTCCCTCTCTCTCTCTCTCTCTCTCTCTCTCTCTCTCTCTCTCTCTACACTCCCCTATTATCTTCATCTCCCGTAAATGTCGTACTAAACACGCAGCGCTGTCATCGCTTTATATTTTTATGTACAAATTACAAATTACAAATTCACGTTTTC